TTGGAAAAGAAGTTCAGGGAACGGAGAAACTGTGAAGGCCGATTCTGAGACGCAACTGGTTGAAAGAACACCGAAGTGCCCAGCTTGTAACCGGTGGCTCCGGCCGCAAATCCATGTGCACAGCGCAAAACCGATAGAGGTATGAATTGTTATGATTTGACCTAGAGTTAAGGAGAAATGAGACGGAATTTTGAAGATCTGAGGTACCCGGCGGTGGCCAGCAACTGATGGCCAAGAGGGTTGAATGTCACCCAGTAGAAATTGTGTTAATCGGCAATTTTCGTCCCCTTGCATGTACCTTGTGGTGGGACGCCGCCTTCGGGTTGAACGAAAATGCAACCACACTTCCAAGTGGCGCCTGTTCGTGAACCTTTTGAGTGTCGCGAGCACGCAGATTCAAATAGTATTTTACCGAAAGAATACTGGGAGCTGAAACTGTACAAGCGGTTGAGAGGGGCCGGAAACCCAGCCAGAGAATATGTCAGCGATACGTCTCTGGGTCCTACCACCCGAAAGGGTCAAACACTCAGGCCTGCCGGACTGCCGAGGCACACAACCGAAGCTGTCCAGTCGATGTTGCCATATAATCGTGAGCTCGGCTACGGGGTAATTGAGAAGTCCAGGTACCGTAGTCTAAAGTAGTGCCTGTACACTTAGATAATTCCTGGGCCCCTGCGTTCTTAAGTGGGACCGGCCGTGTAATCTTACCTACCTACCTACCTACCCACCAATTGGTTCAATCATTCAATATCTGAAAACCGAAGGTTGTATTACTTCATATCCAACTTATTTGCAGACTTCTCTTTGGTGCTGAATCATAGGCGAAACACCCTTCCCTCACGCCGGCACCTCATACAGAGGTTTGAGCTCTCTGCCGTTTCCCTTTTTCACAGTGAGACTTTCGAGATCGAAGCCATTCACTGTGCGCAGGTTGAGCGCCGTTTTTCCCTCCATCATCTCAAGTCGGTGAAGTAGGTGTATACAGAGACGCCGCACGTCTTACAGAAGCTAGGCCGCACGAAATCAGAAACGCGAAACGCGGGAGATGTAGTTGACTGCGCACCAGTGATGGCCTTTGTGGCTCGAGAACGTGTACTCGGTCACCGCGTCTGGCACACCGCGGAACGTGAGCTGGGTAGTCTGGGGATAAATCCAAACTGCGGCGTCCTTTGTCTCGTCAATCTCTGGGAAGCGGGCTGAAATAATATCCAGCTTACCGCCAACAAATGCTGCAGTTACAGTCGGTCGCCGAAGTAATTGCCTCGGGGTTGTGAAGGGTGTACGCGACAGCGCCGCAGTGGAAGCTGCCATGGTACGCAGTTGATCCTTCGGGAACGGGACCGGTCGGGACCGCCGTCGGTGGCTGGTACGCTTCGCCAAGAGCGAGCCTTTGAATATGTCTCCCAGAGGCAGTTTGGTCCGAATCTAGGCTTTGCACTGCGCGGATCTATATTTATGTGAGCGCCAGTGTCGGAGTATAGTATGACGACTAACGCACGTTGATGAGCGCTGCTTTGCCCATGCTGTCAATCTTCCAGCGACCCAACACAGACGCCCGCAGGTGGGCAGAACTGGGACCATTTTCAGCTGGATAGCACAGACGAAAAACAGCTCTAGAGAGATCACCTTATGCACAAGCACACGCTTCCCAAACTCATAACTGACGAGCGCATTCTCATCCCCCTTCACCACAGTGAAGCTGTCGCCGTCGGGCTGCCCCCAGATGTATCCATTCTGCTCGCGTCAGAGTCTTCCTTCAACGAATGGAAAACTCTAAGCACCTTAGAACAGATGGCGCAGTCGCACGTCTTTGCCTGCGTAATCTCGGGGGCCTTGAATGTGAACTTGAAAGCACCGCAGTGGCAATTGCCGTGGTATTCGACGAGGGGAGCAGAGTCAGACATGGGGGACTTTGCCACGGCTAAGTTCGCACGGGAAGTAAGTGGGCTTACGGCTGTCCGAGTCAGAGATTCGAGCCGCGCGCCGGTGCCGAGTACTTAATGATTCATAATTATTAACCGTTCTTTAACGAAATGCTTCGCGATTCTTTGCAACTGTTTGTACCTTTCTCCATTTATTCCTATGTCCTTTCGTCCTACTGTGCTCGCCAGCCGCATCTGTGCTGAAAATCCTCCGTACTTTCGCATTTCCATAGTACGCAGCTATCCCCGTGGGGACGACTACGCACTGCGTAAACTTCGCCGCAGAACGACACGCGACAAAGCCCTACATTCCAACTGCAGCTGCGCCCAGAGTTATCCCTTTCGGTCGACGTTCCAGAAAAATAATTACTCAGCCTCCATCCCGAATTTGGCTTCATTGGTGCTCAACGAATGTTTGACCATTCCTCAGCTGACCATTTCACACTCAATCCGCAGATAAGCGCAGTTTCGCGCAATGAATTTCTTCCTGTGCCGCAGTTGTATTCAACCTGCGGCCACGCAGCACCCCCGAGGATCCGAATAAGTAGGGCAGTTCCCTCGGTCTATCCCTTCAACTCCAGCCTCGGCTCGGATTGGTTTCTCTTGGGCTCTGTAACTACCAGGCAACCATATCATTCGATCGCTCAATCTACTCGTGCGAAATTGCAAGGCTCATTCTTGGCGTCTCTCCAGCACTGAGTAACTTGCAGATGTTCTGGATCTCCCATCATTTGTTGCAGAAACTCAACTTGCTGGCTGGCAATATCCACATTGGTTTTCTCCATCTCTGGGTGCTGCTGTTTTCTCTCAAACCTTGGGCCAATGCCGATGGCGAGGACCTTATTTCCTCAAGCTCACGTAAATTCTCGCCTTCGTTCTCCTGTGTGCCCCTGTAGTAGCTCTTTTGAACGTGAATGATATGTCCTTGCCATTTTCTGAATTGCCAGAGCGAAGCGGCGGTATGTCTTGTCCATTCTATTAAGATTCTTTACGGCTTTCATTTGGATGTGTTTGTATTATCTCCTTCAAGATTATCCCATTCCAATTTTCTGCCATTCGCCTCCTCGCTTACACCATTTCCCATTCTAGGCAACTCTCCTCACCCTGGCCAAAATATAAGCAAGCAAGGTCAATGAAGAGAATGAAGGAAAGGAAAGGAACGGGAACTGAATTACCTCCTGGTGTACATCCATAATAACAAACCTCTGAAGGCTTTTGGATCCGAGTTGAATGGTCAATGAAGTACATGCATAATGGATCTGGAGGCACAAAGGTCAATCAGAACACACTGAAAACAGTGAAAAGAAGACCAAAACTCACTTCTTATCAACTTGAACAAATATACTGACAGTCGCGTGCTTCTCAACCGATAAATTTCGAGGATAGTAACGGCTATCTGCTTCAGAAATAGTGAATGAATACGAATGACAAGGAACGCACCTGAGTCCACAGTATCATAGCTTCGGCATTCAAGGATGCGAGGCGAGGGTACAACTTGAATACCCACCCCCAAAAAATGTCCGAACCTTTAGCGATTTTGAATCCAGTGTTCAAGAATTCGGGCTATCGGCTGAAGCTCCTCAGGCTCAGTTCGGAGACTCGAATTGTGCGGAAATGATCATCCGTGTTCAAGAATCAAGTTCACTGTTTACAAGACACCTTGTGGTTCAAGCTTCTGCCTCAATTTGTTCTTGCCGCCGCGTGTATTTGAGAATTAATTTGAACGACGTACACAGAAAGAAAAAAACCCTCTGATCAAAAATATGGAGACTGGCACGCATGCGGACGCGGGGAATCGAACCCTATCAACTGCTTCAATGTACGTTTACGGCTTCATAATATGGGCCACAGCTGTGCACCATGCACCACATCCGCTTTCTCATCTCTTGCTTCCTCCTTCTTCTGTGCGAGGGGAAAAAATTGAAACTGTTTCAAAAATGCGAAGGTTATTGTAAATGCGGACACCGGGGATCGAACCCAGTCAACTGCTTCAATATTCAATCTGACGCATTACAATTATATGCTACAGCTGTGCACCATGCACCACGTCCGCTTTTCCATCCTTTTCCTGCAGCTTGTATCTGAGAAAAATATTTTCAACTCGTTTCAAAAGAGGTGAACACCGCCGATCTACGTGGACGCCGGGAATCGAACCCGATCAGCTGCTTTAATGGCTGCACCACCATTTGTGGACTGCAGCTGTGCACCATGCACTACATCCGCTTTCTCCCCCTCTTCTGCCTAATCTTTCTATGAGAAATAACCGGCTGGCTCGAGAAAATCTCAAAATAAAAAGATGGGGTCACTACAACGCAATTATGCGGACGCCGGGAATCGAACCCCATCAGGTACTTCAAACTGAACCACCAGTCACTATGCACCATGTACCACGTCCACATTCCCATCTCTTGCTTCCTCCTTCTTTTGTGCAAGGAAAAAAATTGAACTTGTTTCAAAAAGGTTGGAATATTCACGGTGCACCCTTCATGTAGACGGCGGGAGTCGAATCCTGTTAGCTGCTTCAGTGCGCTGCAGCTGTGTACTATACACCTCCCATTTCTTGCTTGCTCCTTCTTTTGTGCGAGGGAAAAATCAGACTTGTTGAAAAGGGTAAAATGCGGAATGCCTCATTCATGTTCAACAAGTGAGGTATGAGCTTTCTTTCATTTATGCGTATGTCTACGAGGAGAGTATCATCCATGCGGACCGAACCCTGTCAACTGCTTCAAGTTCTGCCATCCAGAATATGCTATTCAGAATATTCGGTGCAGCTGTACACAATGCACCACTTCCACTTTTGCCCTCTCATTCCTCTATGAATGAGAAAATCTCCTGCTGGTTCAGGAAATTCATGTAAAATAAAAACAAGCAAACTTATGCAGACGCAGGGAGTCGAACCCGGTATGGCTACTTCAAGCCTGTATTATCGCCACATTCAGGCCTGTGCACCATGCACCATGTCCGCTTTTTCATCTCCTTTCTGCCCCTTCCTGCATACAAATATTTTCGACTCCTTTCCAAAAAAGGTGAGCACCAACACCGCTCTATGCGGACTTGGCTTTAATCTCAAACATCAGAACCATGTACTACAACTGTGCACCATGCACCACATCCGTTTTCTCTTCTCCTTCCTGTGCTTTTCTTTGTGCGAGGGAAAATTGAAACTGTTTCAAAAAGGTTGGAAAATCCACTTGTCATGCGACGCCGGGAATTGATTAATATTGAACCCTGTCAACTGCTTCAATTTTCAATCTGAAGCATCACAGCTATATGCTACAGCTGTGCACCATGCACCACGTCCGCTTTCTCTTTCCCTTCATGTCCATTCCTGGTTACAAAAGAATCCTTTGAACAGTGTGTCAGAAATGATTTCAAAAAGATTCTGGACGAAGCTCTCATGTGGAAACCAGGAATCGAACCCAGGCAACTGCTTCAATCTTCACCACAACTATATGGACTGCAGCTGTGCACCATGCACCACATTCGCTTTCCTATTTCTTGCTTCCTCCTTATTTTGTGTGAGATGCCAGAAGTAGTCAAGTCACAGCTGGAAGCACCCGTTAGGGTTTTATAATTAGCCCATGCCGTAGATTGTGGGCTTGATCCGACAACTGATAGGATCAAATGCCGAGAGCGGCATGTTGGTTTTTTGTTTCCTAATGACAAAACTTAGCATAAAGCCTGGTTTGGGACTGGTCCTTGAAGACAGCCGTTTTCAATTGTCAAGTGACATAGATACTATCATTGTGCTGGGAGCCACCGTGACATTTCACCCTTGGTAGATGCGAAACATAGTGAGGCTGGGATTCAGAGCGCTGATGACACGAGAATTGGAATTCTGAGCTTTATGGTGTCAAGGTACAGAGATTCTGGGAATAAATGGGACCTTTTAAATCTTCACCTGGTTCAAGACAGTCACGAGCATGGAAGTGTGAATCACTGTCCGCTTCCTACCCAAGCATCCATCTGATTATAACTGAGATAGTTTTTCTTCAGAATATGAGAGAAGAAACTCGCTTCGACGAGGGTAAGCGGATGAGCCGAACTCAGTATGTTCGATGACTGTTCTGCGGGAAATACTGATGTGGCATTGTTACGAGCGGAAGACGAGTACAGCTAGGTACACAGATAAATACACCCAATAAGTAAGCCTCGATTGACCACCATGCAATCGATTTCACAAGTAATGAAACAGAGACTAGAAGTCCTCCTTGAAAGACCAAAGTCAGATTCTCGGTAGGACATGTTAATGTGGTATGAGTGCCTACTTTATCCGTGCGCGAGCGGGCCATGTCCTGACTGTAAGCAGTCTCCGACATTTGGTGCATACGAATGACCACATTCTAGGTATTCGGCCGGTAAGTGTTTTTGTCAAGAAGCAGCTATAAGTGAAGGTCTCTTACGGAGTGCTGTTGGGCAGACGAATCGAAGGCTACTGCGCGGGATGTGCCGGCGGTTTGGCGGAATTGGGTTCGCCCATTTAGCCTTAAAAAGAGAAAGCGATTTAACGTGCCAAGAAAACTATCTGAGGTGCAGTGGCCATTGACACTCACGAAGCGAGCATCGAGTTCGAGAATACTGTTGTTAACTTGTTAGTATGCAAGATGGCGACCAAATGTCCGACGGAGACGTACATTTCGCTTGGATCAGGAAAAAGACGAGCCAGGACACTGATCAGAAGATTAAACCCAGCGTACGATACGTCAGATATCGCTACCCACAGTCGTGCCGCCGTGTTAGGAAAAGGATTAGCTGCAAAGCGCCCGATATACTGCCAACGTTAAAAATCAGAGAAGAGCTCGTCGCACATATATAAATGTCCCTCACGTCGTAAGAAGTGTCGTTTCTGATAATATAATATGATTAATGAGTCGTTTAGAGGTTTATTTATTGGTTTAAAATGTTGACTCTTACCGACAGTCCAGAGGATGATGGTGTCAACCATCCGGTTTGTCCTGTGAGCGGAATTAATTCCACCTGCCCCGAGCTCAGTAACCCCACTCACTCTTTGAAATCAGTGCTTCTACGATGCCACAGATAATATACCAGGGACCCAGCGATAATGACATCGACCACAGGACCAATTGAGGACACGAGAATCACCTCCCAGTTGAATTTGGTCGTCAGGAGAGTAAACACTGGGTTCTGCGACAGCTCTCCAAAGAGCAGCATGTTGCAAGCGAGACGAACGAGATTCAGTACACAGCACAGGACGGGTATGAGCCATTTCCCTGACAACACCCGCACCCGATACACGAAGAAGGTCTGAAAACACATGTAAGGATCACGATGAAATCCAGGCATTGATGCGACTGTACCTGTACGGCGATGGCTATCAAGGCATGGAAAAATATGGGGAAGACCAGTGAGAGCGGGGGCTCAAAGATGTGCTGCGGTTTGCCGTAGAACGTAACCGTGATAGTATACATCTTAAACACAAGAGAAGTTAGATATTGAACCAATCACTGTGTCTCCACTCACCGCATGCCAGCACACAATCGTATGCCCGAGCTCAAGGAACCTATTTTGTAAAAACACCCGCAAAAAGAATATATATATCAGAAACCGATATGACCTGAGGAAACTCGGCCTCACCAAATACTTCCGACCTGCGCATGCGTTAGAAATGGTATGAGAGTCTTGGGCAAGGAATCGCACCAGTCCCTTGAGAATTTTAGGATCCTTTGGAAATTCGCGGTAGTAATTGAATGTCTGAAGGGTCCCGATGCCAAACAGCCATGTGGCCAGGACCAGGGCGATTTGAATGTCGCCCAGGGTCCCGTCGAGGTCGAGGGCAGGAACCTTGGGTGAGGCCGACATGCTGGAAGGACTCGGAGTGAGACAAGCGTCCGATAACGAATTTATTCCTCGCCTCTTAAGCGGCCTGGATCCATGTCTGCTCCATTACGATCATCATTACCTGTACTAAGTTCTTGATTAATCAAATTCATCCAATTGGTTCATCCAAGACCGAACTGGTTCGGATTTTGGCTCCAGAGCAGAGTGAAGAGATCTTATAGAAGAACGTAACAACTCGCTTATTGCCCACTTGAACACAATCTAACAATTTTGATGATAGTCAGATGATTTCAACCTGGGCGCCGGCAAGAACAAAGTTTGGGTCGGAAATTACTTAAAATCTGAGACCTCGTCGCATCCCACACATCTGGTGCGAGCCTTTGCCAAATTATCTCCCAAGTGGGATCGAAGTCGAAGAGAATCTGATTGGACCTGCCTTGCGTTGCCTTGAGACAGGATGGAAAGGGGAGTACCATGCTTTATCGAATGTTCCCATCAACAAAACGTCCCACTGTACGATCCTTTTCAGTAAATGGACGAGGAAGCTGAGGTGAACTATCAGTCCTGCCATTGTGGAGCGGTTCTGTTGTTCAAAATACCTGATGTAGATGTCAGGAAGAGCGGGGGCATATCCGCGTGGCACGAAGAAGTCTCAAAGTGGAGGAGGAGTGGCAGGTTCTCTTGATTAAATCTTGATGATTCGCCCGCTGGCGTATGTGGGAAGTAGTATTTTAATCAGTGTTCGAGTGTTAATCGTAATAATCACATCCCTTTGTATCCCCATGAAGAACATAGCAGAACTCGTGAAATAACAGGTATTTTGAATGTTCACTAGTATTGTGCATACGCAAACGCTTGGATTTCCCTCCCGGATATATATATTGCATAAAGGAATATTCAAGTTTCACTCAGTTGGAACTCCATGTAGATCAACGAACTAGAGCTTGTACTCCCTCAAACCACCGACGAACTGTTTCCAATTTGCTTCTGATAGGATGGGTACCTGTGAGTAGGGCTCGGCCCCAGTGCGCGCCAACCAATCGTCCAGGTGGGGAAGGGCAGCAGTTACCGCTGCGTTCACCGCCACATCCTGGCGTGCGCCACCGAAGTCCGCGTGCTCGGCATACCAGGCTGCGTCGAGTGTCAGCGTTGACGCGAGATACAGATCGGTGATGGTTGCGTCGAGGTTCGCGTCTACTGCGGCATCGTAAGCCATGCGGTGTCCGATGGCACGCACAATGAGCTCGCTCTTGG